CCAAACTCGTTTCTTTGTGTGTACGATCTGGATTTTTGAGCTCGCTTCATAAAATACTTGCTTCATTTGAAAAAGGAGGGGAAAGAAGACCTGTAACTTCCACATCTGTTTAGTTTTTATAGCATGTCTTATTTAGTTGTGTTTTCCTGTAGAAAGAGGAAAGTTACTAATAACATTAAAGCTGCTTTCTCTGTTTTTCTTCTTAAATAAACAAGCATAGAAACATTATGGGTGGTATTCTTCTTTTAAAGTAAATCCTTCTGGGGAAGGAGAAGAAGGTGCAGAGAAAACTCAGCAAACAAAGACATAATTGCATCAATATTCTTTTTTGTTGATAATGTTTGCTCAAATAGAGGACTGATTCCATAGCAATGCAGCAAAACAGAGTATTAACAAGAGGTGTTTTAGTGTTTGGTCAATGTGTGTTTTTTTTAATAAAAAAAAACAAAAATTGTTTGTGGATCCTTGATTCACTTTCTGGTTTTGTCTGCTCAGTCTAAAAGCAGCAGCACTCACATCCTTGAGAACCAAGCGCTGCAAGATGAGCATTAACCGGAGGAGAATCAGAGTGGCGATAGCTGTGATAACTTTGGGTAGCAGGAGGTCCCCAGATGTTTTGCAACCTCTGCAACGAGATTGGCAGCAGCCTCTGCAGTATCTTTCCCACGTATAGCTACCCTTCGCAGGCACCTGAGAGCGGGCAGAGAGAAGAGAGGGGAAATCCTCGGTAGGCAGAAGGTTTGAATAGGGAGGTATGCGGGGCGGTGGGTTCAATGTACCTGCTTTGCAGGGGGTGGGAAGAGCGAGGGTTAGGCTTGTTAAACACTGGATGCAGCAATGTTAGCCGAGCTCAGGAGTTTCGTAGAGGTGGACCGACCTCTCGTGCTGTGTGTGTTCTCTGCAGTGCTCGGCTGTGGTTAGGTTCCCAGCTGGGGCAGGCAGAAGCGTGTCCCGGCACGCTGCGGGAATGGGTTAGAGCTGCCCGAGGGCTGCGGCGGGGCAGCAGCTCTGCCCTGGGAACAGCAGGAACGCAGAAGCGTAACGGCCTGGCCGTTGGCCAGGGGTGAGCGGGAACAATGTGACTGAACAGGTTTGTGCTCACTTCCTTGTAATCTCAAAGCTGAACTAATACAGAAACCCAGAAACGTTTGCCAGCGAGAACAGCGAGGCTTCCTTTTTCTGTGTGTCCTGCAAGGCGGGAACAACTGACTTGCTATCGTGTCTGGCTGCACGGCCGACGAAAAGCAAATCCTTGCTGGAGGAATGGCACAGCTGAGCTCAGGTCGGGGTGGTGGATGCTACCCGTTGGGGTTGGCTCTGGGGTTGCTGCCAGTACCCTGTACCAGAAGCTGCTGTGGCTACCACCATTTCTCAGGTCCTTCCTGTTCTCCTCCTTCTCCTCTGAATTTCTCTGCATCTTAGTTAGCTTTGGGCAGAGTGGGTGAAGACTACTGGTTTAATCACAAGCACAATATTTACGCCCTCTTTCCATGGATATAATGTACTCAATCCATAGCATAGCACACCCCAGATCCAAGTCTTCTAGATTTTAATAGTTTTCTTTGATGCAAAAAAAGGAAATAAATGTGACCCGCAGTCTTCTCTTCGTGGTGCTTGTGGATATTTGAATGCGGGGCCAAAGTTTATTACTCTTAAGTGGTGGCAGCTGCAGCCCACGTGCCTGTATTGTGGTGGTGGCTAGCACAGTGGGCTGAAGCACAGCCCCAGGGCTCCGTAAGAGCCAGCAAAGGCTTTTTCAGAAGGTCAAGTCCTTATTTACAGACTAGTTATTACCATAAGGTCTTTCTGCTGGGCAAGACCCACCAGTGGCTGCAAGTCCAGTAGTTCTGGTGAGCAGAGCACACCAGCAGATGAGCTGGCGTAGCTGACTTCCAGGGCTTTACGCTGCTTGGTGCTGGATAAAATAAGTGGAAGCAAAATTTGGAAAATTGTTCTGCTCTATTATTATTTTTTGTTTTGTTAAACTGCTGTGCCTTCGTATTGTCCACCAGTGCGTAACACTCCTTGGACTAGGGGGGCCAGCATCAGCCTACCTCAAAGGGGCTACCTAGTTTCTAGGCAGGTGTTGCTATGAAAGCTGTATTTTCTCATCTGTAATTTCACAGAGGGGGATGTTGGAACCCATCTCCAAATTAGGTCATTCCCTGCTCAGTCTAAGGTTTCCAGTGTATAGCATTGGAGGAAAAGAATCCTAGATCACATTCTTTCCTAAAAAAAAAAAAAAAAAAAACTCCAGAACAATTTTTTTCTAAAAAAAAAAAAAAAAAAAAAAAAAAGTTTAAAATAATGATTTAAAAAAAGTTTTTTTTTTTTCTATTTCTTTTTGTTTCAGCATTTCAAACTTCATGACTTACACTTCTGTCTTCAACTTTTGACATCTATAAGTACTTTTTTTAATAAAAAAGGAAGTGTGGATTCTGATGTAATCATGTGACCCCAGGAACTGGGTACTTATGAAAAACACTGAATCCTATGAGAATTGGCAATGCTTAGAGTCATCCCATGGTCCAGCAGCTGAACTAGAAAATGAAGCAAAACCTTCTACTCCTGAATCCCTTTCCAGCGTTGCTTCCCTATCCCTTGCTGTCCATCTTGTTGCAAAAGATGCAGATTTTAGGTTTTTTTTATGGTATGGGGTTTTTTTAGTAATTTATATGGTAAAAGGTGTTTTTCCTTACATGGTGAAATTTGCAGATCTGTGATCCTGAGGCTCTCGGTTGCTCTTCAGATTATGTGTGAGGATGGTCTCTTGTAGAAACCTTGCATATTGGTGTATGCTTTGCTTGATCACGCTTTGGAGATGCTGGAGTAATGCATTTGTTAGACCTTTCTCTGTGTGACTGCACTTCTTTTGCATTTTAAAACTAAGAGATGGCTTTGCTGCTGCTATGGCATGAATCAATGCCAATGCAAATTGCAATGTCAGCTTTCAGTACTTAAGGGAGGTTGTAAGAAAGATGGGAACAGACTTTTTAGTAGGGCCTGTTGTGACAGGACAAGGTTTTAAACTAAAAGAGGGTAGATTTAGACTGGATATAAGGAAATTTTTTCTATGCTGAAGGTGGTGAAACCCTGGCACAGGTTGCCCAGAGAGGTGGCAGATGCCCCATCCCTGAAAATATTCAAGGTCAGGTTGGATGGGGCTCTGAGCAACCTGCTCTAGTTGAAGATGTCCCTGCTCACTGCACGAGGGTTGGAATAGATGGCCTTTAAAGGTCCCTTCCAACCCAAACTATTCTAATCTAATCTAAGATGCATTGGATTCTCTTCTTCCCAAACCCTTTGTTTCCTTGCATTTCCCTTTCTGGGGTGGTTGGGAGGTTTTATTGATCTGTTTTCTGATGGGAAGCTTGACCTAGCTGGCTGATGGAGGGGATGCTTGCTGTCTGTTCTCTTGCTAACCCGCTGTCTGCAAAAGTAAATTGAGTGCCTCTTCATGTTGGACAGGATCAGGCTTGAGCGCTCAGAGAGGCACAAGTACTCCAATAATACAGAAACAAGGTTCCTGTGCTGCTTGTGGCTGCTGGGACAGGAATTGGGCGACTCGCTAGGCTGCCTCGGAGCTTACTGAAGCCAAAAGCCAGGCTAGTGCAAGTCCTCCTTTGCTTAACTCTCCTTGGTAAGTCCTGTTAGCGTGAATGAAATAACAACCGGAAAACGAAATGTCTTCAGAGGGCAACGTTCTCCCAATATAAGCAGGAAGCAAAGCCAGCATGTTTCTTTACAACGTGGGAGATATTTATCCTGTGACTAAGCATAAAAGTTAAGACATGGAAAAGGTCCTATTAGATCATCTCATCCACCTCCCTGCTGGCGTGCAGTTTTTCTCCCTGGTGTATATTTATTAATAGGCTGTTGGGCAGACAGAAGTAGTTTACTCAAGGTACTATGGAAGAGTAGCAGCCAGCCTGTGCAGGTGAGGGACTCTGCACACGCATGACTCAACTTGCACGTGCACAAGTTGCTTGCAACAATAGGATTTTGTAGTAAAAGGGCCATAAGCTCTAGACTCGACATTCTTTGCATGCTTGGAGCCTTCCCGTTGACTTGCTGGGACTTGGTTTGTGCAGGCGTTAGCTCATCTTCTTTTAACGTTCTAGGAATAAGCTAATTTTACTTTATATTTATGATGGAGTAGGTGGTTTGAAAACTAACAATAATGGGGGGAAAAAAAATCAGAAGCCTTTTGGTAAGGAGAGGTCAGCCAGCTAGACATCTGCAGAGCTGGCCTGCGCTCTGTTGGCCATGTTCTATGACAGTGATGTGTGACGACTCCCGGAGATGTCAGAAAGGTGCAGGTGGAAATGCTATTGCTATGACAAACAGATCAGTGCTGGACTTTCAGGCCTGAGCTTGGGGACCATCAATACTGCTTTGTTTATTACTCCTCAGTAACCATAGCACGGCCTTATGCGCGTGTATTTTTTTTTTTTAATTTCACACTCCCCAATTTCGTTTGCAGCTCAGAGCATTTAGCATCTCCCAGATTGAAATCGCTGAGTGTTGAGTAGAAAGGGACAGATTCTGTCCTTAGCTAATTCAGGGAAGAACTAGAGCATGTGCTGAACACAGGTAGGGGATGGGAGCAGAAATTTCATATCTAGGCATGTGCTGCCTTCTCGTATTGAGAATCTGCTGGGTTTTGCATTTAGGATCACTCTGCTGGCTTCAAAGGTGTCTCCTGGTCAACACTAGTGTGAGATCAATATATAGGATTAGAGAGCAGGACTGTTCTGTGGTGCAGGTGAGCAACCAAGCCTGCTCAGCCACCAGTGAGGTGTTTTTGCTGGTGGTGGCACTGTGTTGAGCCCCTAGGGGTGTGCTGTGGCCTGATGATCTGTTTCCTGACACTACGGTGCATTTTGTGCAGTTTTCTGGAGGTGTTATGGAACATCTCTTGGCTACACGATTGCTCTGTTGAATCAGGAGAAGCTATCCCCTAGATCTGTGGAGGGTAGGGGCTGGGTGTTCCGCGGTACAGACTGTGTCCCTGGCACTGATGGTCTTTCTCTTGGCATGTTCTGTGGAAGTGACAGTATTGCAGATGACGTTTTCCAGGAAAACTTCCAACACTTGTAAACGAGCTTGGAGATGGGCTTTGCCTCCCTTCCCTCAACCAGACATCTAGGGAGGAGGGAGTTGGAGTAGGACACAGTGCATGCATGCAGCATATCTGCCTTATTATTATTTAATTTAGAGAAACTTGGTCTAAAGATGTAAAAAGCAATTGCAAACACGGTCTGGACACCACCTCTCCTCATCAATTAGCGGCATTAAACGCTCAGCAGGGAGGATTAATTAGAAAACTGAAATCTTTCCATCGTGACAGCCTTCTGGTTTCCGTTGAAATGCAGCTGAAGAACTGGAAAGGCTTCTGTATTTTGTTTTGATATACAGGCATATGTTCCTTTCCATCCTGAAAATTAATTCTGTCTGTCTGTAAACGGGGCCGTGGGAATCAATAATGAGTTGAACTGTATTTCTCCAGAGCTTTCTTCTAAAAGTAGTTGACTGTTTCCCCACTGTGCCTAATAAGTGACCTGATTTTGCAGCAGCTGAGCAACTGCTGCTCTGATGGTCTTCCACTTCGGAGGTGCTGTGCAGCTGCCTTGACAGTTCAGGGTTGGTCCACAGTCTCTTGGGTGCAATGGGCTTCTCTATTCCGAAGTTCTTCAGGTCAGACTTCCTCCGAGAGGCCGAAAAGGCCCACAGCCTTCTGCTGCCTGCGACTTTCCGTTGCACCGCTCCAGGCTGGATGCTGTAGGAAAGGAAATTACTCACTGCTCTGCATCCCTTGTAGACTGCTCTTGGCCTTGGCTGCTCTCTCTACACTCTGCAATGCCCTAAGCTGGATTTAGAGGCAAGATCTGACTTTTCCTCAGTTTCCTCATCTTTTCTTCTGCCCACCAGGCTTGGGGAACGAAGGACAGCCAGCACAGTAGCCATGACCTGCTGCCTTGCACTGAGGGAGCAGGTCACCATTACATGACGACTGTGGGCAGCACAGTTTGGGTAACTCGAGGTTGTTTCTACTTCTCCAGAAGAAGCTGCCTGGTGTGTGCTGGAGGAAGTGACAGCCTGTGCATGGGCTCTGCAGAGCCACAGCTATGTGAAAATTGGATGGGGAAGGGGCAGCAGGAGAGGCAGGGCAGACCCAGGAGGCCCTGGGCACTTTGAGCTTTGGGCAATAGATCCGTTCTACAGAGCTGTTAGGTTGTGTGAGCATATGGCGTGTACTGCCCAGTCTGGTTCCTGCATTGTTGGTGGCTCATTTTTTATTGTGTTTAGTCACACACAAAGGCAAGCGTCCTTGAGTTCATGTGATACTGCAAGTCAAGAGGGCAAGGCGAACAAAACCTCTGTGAAACCTTATGTTTCTGTTTCATAACCCTATCAGCCCCCACCAATGGCACGCACAGGCCAGCAGCTTGTGGAGACAGCAGTGTCCTGGGGCTGTGCGGAAACATGGTCCTTCTGCCCCAAAACACAAGATGCCCTTTAGTCTTTGCTTACCACCAAGTGCTCGCTGATTTTTGGCTTCCTCCCCCGGTCTAATCTCACTGCAGAAGTGGTGTGAGCAAGAAAAGGACCTTGAAAATTCTGCAGTGCCTCTGGGGGGCTGATCCTAAGGTCCTGGTCTCCCCATGTGCTGTGGAGCTCATGCTTCTTGCCCACGAGGAAGGAGCAAAATAACCAGGTAGCTGCTGAGAGAGCAGAAAGTGGTCAATTAGTCCTCAGCCCTTTGCTTCACAGTCGATTGGAAAGTCGTGTTGTGATCAATCAAATCTAGACGGGCTGCGGGCATGAAGCTGTGGCTCATTAGAGAGGAAGCTGTGTGGTGGGATGGCTGCGGGAGGGACTATTGATTACAGCCGGTTGAGGGTAAATGGTGGTATACAAAGGCTGGTAGGACAACTTGTAGGAGATACAGACGTTATCCTCTAGGCTGTCAGCGGGATGTTGCAAGTGAGAGAAAGTGGGTCTGCTAGAAGGTGGGATGAGCGTGAGAGATGGCACAGTGGCTTAAAAGCCCTGACGCTGCCATGAGGTCTTGCTGCCCACCTAGGAGATGCTGCCCAGCTCTCTCTTGCCCGGTCCAAAGCTTGGTCACTTAGTGTTAACCTCCCTGTTAGAGCATGTTGGACCAGTCATAAAGTTTGTAATGCTTTTGATGCTCTTAGAGGTCAAAGCTACAGAGGCAGGGTTGGTTGCTGCCCGCCGTTATCCTCGGGGAGAACCGGGTGTCCCAGTCCCCAGTACAGATGCGAGCTCTCAGGCCAGGTTCTTCATTGCACAGTGTTGGCTTTGCAGCTCTTTGGAGTAATTTGGAGCTCTTTGTTGATGGAGACTCTTCATTTGTGATGCCAGATAGCAGCTTGGTGCTGCGCAGGCACCTTTCTCCCAGCTGCTTTTGCCAGGAAAGATTTTGCTCTGAGACATATACTTTTCTGAGGGCATGTTTCATCTGAAGGTTTTAGTATCTATTCTTCCTTTTTGGTTTCTGCTCCTTCTTCTTTTTTCCAGGGACATAGACGAAAGAGGCCTGAAGCCTCACTTTTCCAGATATGCTTTCTTGTTTTAATCCCCCACAAAGTTTGCAGTCATTTGAGGAGAAACACAAAATGAAAGGCCATGAAAACCTGCAGGAGAAATAAATTACAATGCTCTTCTGCATTGGCTTTTATCTTACGCATAGAGATACACCTTCCCCTTTGCTGTTTTCACATAGCGGGTTATGTTCATTGAAATCACTGGGTTTCTGTTGGTGTAATTTGCATCAGGGTTTCTCTCTGCTTTACAAGTGCACAAACAACAGTCCAGGACAGGATTTTGCCCTGTAAAAGGGGAAATGATGCAGGACAGTGCTGTCCTCTAGCTGCAGACCTTCATCCTCATCAAGCAGGGCTGTGCGTTTAAATAGTCGTGGCTGGGCTGACTTCTGTGGAGGTGAACATGCTGGGTTGCAGGAGATGAGGATCCTTTAAACTTCGTCACTTCAGTGCCTGATTTAAAAATTTCCATGTTGGCATAATGTATGGTGGGACTGAGGGGGGCTTTGGGGTGTAATCAGGGTGTCTGCAAATTGGTTTGACTCTACCAGTTGCTGGAGGAGGCAGTTTCTCTCTAGCAAGTGGGAGTTCAGTTGAGATGCAGTTCTGCGCTGTCAAACCTTGATGGAAGTAAAAAAACTAAACAGGTGAGGACCACGTGTGTTCTCCAGAAATTTGCTCTGACTTGTCTGTTACATATATAAAACAATACATTCTGACCTGAAAGGGCAGTGTTTTCTCTTTTTTGCTGACGGAAGAGTCCTTTCTAATCCTTTTGATTTGCTGCTTTGTTTTATGGGTTTCCAGAAGTTCGAGTTCTGTATGCAAAATCAAAGCTATTTTATTTGCCAGTATAAATTACTGATTATTCCACTGAATTTGGTAAAAGGATTACTACTGTAAAGCCAGAAAAGAAACTAACTGAAAAAAATAACTCATTGGAGCATGCTGTCTGCACCTTTTCATTTACAAAGTAATTTGTGGGAAAAGGAAGGGTCAAGAGGAGAGAGGCTTTAAGACCTCAATGGCTGTTTTAAAGGGCTGCCATGGAAATTAGCAGGAGTCATGCAGGTTTTAAAGCTCTTATTCTGCATACACACTGTGCTGGAATCAACAGGATGGCTCAGGAAATCTTTCTTTAGAAGCAGCTGTTGAATATAGCTGCATTGGCTGGGTTGCTGACTAAAGGTATCCTCCATCGTGCACAACTGCTTTTAAAGAAGCACAGACTATCTCTTCACCCAGCAAAATACCATAGTGCAAAAGATTCTTAATGAGTTTTGGGGTGCTGTGCCCAAAACTGGGGGAAAAAACCCTCAACTGATGCATGTTCATATAGAATTGCTTGTTGGCTTTCATGCGATGTAGTTCCCAGAGCACTGGCTTGCTCCTTATGTGAGCTGTGGTGATGAGCGTATGTCACTTCTTGCTCAGCAGCCTGATCAGTGCATGCTCAGGAAAGGTTTTTTTCCTCCTCGTCTTGGCTCATGCAGTTTGTCCCTTGAGCTTAATTGAGAGATAGGCCTGCAAACCTGGCTTGGTTACACGCACGTCTGCAAAATGTCCATCCTGGTTGCATGCTCATGAACATAGGTGCATAGTCTTAAGTGGCTACTTTTTGATTAATCCTGCATAACACATCCTAACCTGAGCAGAAAAATTCCATGAGGGCAGGGTCTTATGCATCTGAAGTGTCACCAAAATTTAGCTATTCTTTTGTGTAGTCCTTAAATATGGATCCCATTTCCAGGGCAGCAGTATGTGCACCAGGTCAAATGTCCGATAGCATCTAGAACAAAACTATAAGGATGAGCTTGAGATGATATGAGGAAACCTGTAATATTTCAGCTGCTCTTTCTTTGCATTTGAATCCATCTTTGCCAAGCCCGCAGACTGTTTGACTGAGCTATCAGCATGCACACGTTTGTATTCTCACTGTTAAAACAATCTCACTTGCTTTGCTGTTGTTTTTAATGCTACCCCAGGCCTGGCCTCTGAAACATTTTGAAAATAACATTTACAATAATATTTTTAACAGTTCCGTAGTATACAAAACTCCAGCACCCTGGCAGGACTCCCGGAAACTTGCTGAAAGTTAATGTGGTCAACTCTTAAAAAGGAGAGATTTTTTCCGCTTGACTCTTGCTTGTTAAACTCTCTGAGCCCAACATGTTGTTCCCTGCTGCTTGAAAAAACAAGGAAAGTCCCAATTTTAGCAATGCTCATTTGAGTAGCTTTCCAGCTGAGCCACATTTCAGGGGCAACTGTGGCTTATTATTATTTTTTTTTTGATGGTGGTGTGTCCCTACACTTTCAAACCAAAGTGTTAAGTGGTGCTCAGGCAGGAATAAGTAGGTGCTGCTTTCCCTGGAAGCCTGGGGATGATAAACCGCAGAGGGAGATGCCACTTGCCTGTACTGCAGTACTGGCAAGACATCCCAACTTGGAGGCCTTGTTTTACAATGGATGCTGAGCCTCTGTGGGGTAAGAGGAGCCCTTTTTGGGGTAGGTGATATTGTAAATCCCATTTGAAGTCAATGGTAGGCCACTGATGGCTCCAACTCTCAATGCTGGACTGCATTCTTCCTGCTTTCCTAACCCCTATCCTACATCCTTCCTCCCAGTAAGTGTCTTCCAGTCATTTTTGTGTCTTCCCTCAAATCCAGGGAAAAATGTCTCTTCTCCATCCTTTCGTCCCCTGCTTTGCTTTCCACAACTTAAGATGCACAGAGGCTGGAGTCATGTTGAACTGGGCAGTCTTGCGGTTGTCTCCCTTGAAGTCAGTCTTGCTTAATGCCTCTCCAGCCAGGAATATGGGATGAAAAGAGAAGAACTGGGATTAATTTTTAAAGTGGATTAATAACCTTGCATATAGTTGTCAGGTAGATACTCATACTCTAAGTAGCTGTAATGATGTTGAGCCACTTTGGCTGCAGAATTGAGTTCAGCTCAGTCAAATCAAAGCTGCTTTTATTCTAGATGAGAGCATCTGTACTGGACTTTCCTGCAGATTAAGTAGCTTCCAGTAGGTTCCTGAGGAGACAGGAGCAGCCGAAGTCTCTTGCATGTACGACACAAATCTGGAGCCCCAACATCCCTGGGAGCTGACACTTCGCTGTGCTCTTATTTCATTGCTTGGTGGGAGGCGTTTCTGCACGGTGATGTTACCGAGGCAGTAGTTGGTAGATTGGCAGCAGAGATTTAGAGTAGATTTACAGTGGAGGCTGATTCTGCTGGCTGTGGGAGCGGTGGAGTGAGAAGTGGGAGCCCTGTTTCAGCTGCCCGCTGGTTTGTGTTGTAAACTGCCAACACTTGAAGGCTCTGATCAGGAAGCTTAGTGAGAGGAGAAGGGGGATGCTGCTTTGAAGTGCATCAGAGTAGAAAAAGGATTTTTCTTTTTTTTTTTCTCCTCTTATTTTTTCCCTTTTTTCTCCCCTGTTTTTTAAGGGAGATGATAAAAGGGCAGAATTTGTACAAGAAACAGGAATTTGTCCTTCTGTAACAGGAAGCTTCTGGTATGTATTTTTGGGAAGCCACGGAAATCGCCAGTGTTTGCAGTCCAATTTGAAGGCTGGCTGTCCTCAGGATTGAAGAGATCTGTTAAAATAGATTACCTTTTCTTCTGTCATGTATCCGTGGAGCTTTCCTGCACTGACTGTGGAGGCTGGTTTGCTTATGAGAGCAGGGCAGTGGGGTCTCGGGGTCTTGGTATGGCAGAGGTGATGGAGAAGAGCACAGGACTCTGCCAATGGAAAGGTCACCTGTTTTTCCAGGGTTTGTTTGCATGGTTCCTGTAGGTGCATGCTTTTGTAACTAGATATGGATTGCAAAGGTCTGGCAGGTCTCCAAAAAGCCATTAGAAAAGTCTGTTACACTGATGGATGAGTTAACTTGGGCTAGCCCAGGAATTTAGGGTTAATGTAGGCTATCTGCAGGTGGCCCTTGGTGCAATCTCTACATGCAGCTTAATTGCTAGAAGTGTTGCATCAATTTTGAAAGCAAAAGCAGTGAAGATTTGGGCTGTTTCCTGCTCTTGTTATAATCAGATGGAATTTTTACACTACTTTTTAGTGGTATTCTGCTCCCTCTTGATCCACTTCTGCATAGACTGACCGGTTCCTCCTCAAGATAAGATTTTAAACCTTTCCAAGCCTGTTAGTTACTTCCTTGCCTCTTCCTTTGTCTTGAAAATGGACAGAGCAGAGTCCCCGGTGGCCATGGGCTCTTAGGCTAAATGGTGCTGTCCTGAGAGGAAGCTGCTGCAGCAAAAGGAACAACGCACTTCGGGGCACATGTATGTCTCCGCCTCTGCTGCTTTCTTATCGCTTTCCCTTCCTGCTCGTCTCTCTCAAAATAGGCTGGATAAATATCCTCCTGCTTGCCACCACCAAGGCGCCGGACTTGCAGAAAATAATTTTAATCCACGCTGGCGATCATTCCTGTTGAGATTTTTTTTTTTTTTAATAGTGTTTAAAATTATTTGACTGAGCTGGGAGATTTTCAGAGTGTCTTTTTCTACTGCTTCTGCCCAATCCGTGATGCGTAACACTGCAGAATTCATGTCTCTGTCCCGGTACACACAGCTGTCACTGACTTTGGGGCAGTGTCACCTGCAGGGACTGCAGGACGGGAATATCTTACCCTTTCCGTGCAAGTCTGATGAAGTACTTGAGATGTCTCTCCATTTACTTGTGCTATAACACAGGTTTACAATCAAACAATCTGTGTGCTTATCAGTCAGCTAAAGTGGACTGGTCTTTGATCATTTCTATCACATTGCTGCTTAAAAGGTGCCCATCTTGAGGTGGGTTATGCCTTCGTTCAGTCTAAAATGAGGTTTTCCACTGGTGAGCAGGACTGACTCCAGCAGGCTCAGGTTTATGCTCTAAGTTTCTCAGTGAGGAAGAAAACCCACAAAACTTTTCTGGGCACAGAGCTTTGGTTAAATGCAGCATGCCAGGTAACTGAACCCTGTTCTGCATTGGTTTTGGGCAAATTAGCAGATATCCATGAGTAGCACTTGGCAACAGACAGAGGCTCTGGAAGGGCTGTAGGGACATGCCCGCCATGAGGGATGTATGGGGCATACGTTACTGCCGAGAACTGCCCAGACTCAGTTTTTTTTCCCATGTGGTCAGAGGAAGGCTGGTCCAGCCTTGAGGAACCTTGGCTGGAATTTGGAAGGTCTAAATTTAGGTTTCTGCTTTGATACAGGCTGCCCTGGGACTGACTTTCCATGTTCTGCTGTCAATCTGTTCCCCGAGTATTATCCCATAGGGCTGCCACAAGATGTGATGCGTTAAAGATGGTATTGCTCTAAGGTTACATTAAATAATGTAAAAATCCATTAAAGGTGTAATGTATTAAAGATGGTCTGCCCTTAATAAAAAGAGACCTGTGGCACAAGTGGTTACTCCAAGGTTTTGAAACCATAAAGGTTTGTAGAGGGTTACCTTTGGGGTGTATAGAGGGCATGCTCCTGGTCTCAATTCCTAACTAAATGGTTCTCCTCTTTCCTCCAGCCCAGGTGATGCTGGGGAAATGCTTTGTGAAGAGTGGTCCTGTTCAGTCTCTGTCCCCATTGACATGTCAAAATTAATCTGTAAACTCTGTCTATGTTTGTTATTACAGGGTGGATGCTTGAGAGTGGAGGATAAGGTACAAGTGTCTGGGACCGGTGGAATGGAGGCCTGATGTAGATGGAAAGATGGGTAAGAACTGGATTCTCCTGAAGCATTAATTTTCTTCAGCCTACTAGTTCTAATTGGGACTACCATGCATGACAGCACAGCGTGAGACATTGCCAAGATGGTCTGGCTGAATATTACATTGGTTTCTAATTTTTTTTGCCTTCCACTAACTGCCAAAATTGGACAAATTCTATTCTTACAATCAGTGTGATCTGATGGGTCATGTTCTAGGTGGAGCCTCTTCTCAAGTCTGTCTTGTATTTATGGAGAGAGCATCTTCATTACCTGTATCTCTTCTTCCAAGGAAGCTTCTGTTTCAAACAGAGCCTGAGTATATTGCTTTTCTAATTGCTGACCTGGATTATTTGCTCTTCCGCTGGAATAGTTGTGTATCAGATGCTCTGTGGTGCTGAGGGAGACTTTTTTCTTAAAGTGGAAGTTATTTATAGCTCTGGGGGTACATAATGATCTTGATCTTATCTCTGCTACTAAAGAAAACTTATGTCAGAAATTGGGACTACTTGGAAGTGCTGGACTCTTTCAGTTTTAGCAAGTGGTGGTGTTGTCTCACATGAGCAGGTGATAAGGGTGAGACCCCCAGCTCCCTTCAGCTTCTCATGCCATTGGCCATCAAACTTATCACATTACTCTTCCAAAATTATACCTTACTTGTAGGAAAATGCCCATGCTCTGCTACTGTGCTTGTAACTTGTCACACAGGTGGACACAGCTGGAGGGATTGGCTGGTGTCTTCCTCTCCCTGCAAAAGGGCTTCGCAGGAGACGCATGCCATACTGATAGAAGCATTGCTGGGTTTGGGATTCAGCCAGCATCTCATGTATTTATGAGCATGGCAAAGTATGAGAAAGCTCTTTGCAGAATGAACATTGACCACAAAAACAATTGCAAATTGGTCTACAAGCCATTCTGCCAGCCAGTAGCAGTTCCAGCAACTGTAGGGGTTTCTGCTCCTTTAATTTTGCTGAAAAGAGAAAACTCAGCAGATTGAAGAGAAAGGCCAGGTTCTACTTCACATGGGCGTCAGTGCTCGATTAACACGTGGAACGTAAGCTAATGTGAGCTTGGATTGTCCTGTTCCCTTCACCAGAAAAGATGGGTTAAAGAGGAGCCTAAATTAATCTCCTGATATGGCTTCCTGACCTGGTGACCCAAGAAGGGGGAAGAGATCTTGGAGGAGTCCTGGTGGAAGTGAAGCACTTCACTTTTACATTTGCAGCATTTACACAAGTTCACCCAAAACTTTTTAGGGATGGTTGAAATGGTGCTTAAAAAAAAAAAAGGAGGTCATGGGGAATACCAGTAAATTTAGGGATTGTCCTTGCAAACCTGGTAGAAAAGTGATTCAGAGTTTGATAGTGGTTTGAATTTGTATCAGCAATAGTGTGGCCAGCAGGAGCAGGGAAGTGATCGTGCCCCTGTACTCGGCACTGGTGAGGCCGCACCTCGAATCCTGTGTTCAGTTTTGGGCCCCTCACTACAAGAAGGACATTGAGGTGCTGGAGCGTGTCCAGAGAAGGGCAACGAAGCTGGTGAGGGGTCTGGAGAGCAAGTCTGATGAGGAGCAGCTGAGGGAACTGGGGTTGTTCAGTCTGGAGAAGAGGAGGCTGAGGGGAGACCTTATTGTTTCTGCAACTACCTGACAGGGGGTTGTGGCTATGTGGGTGTTGGCCTCTTCTCCCAAGTAACCAGTGATAGGACAAGAGGAAATGGCCTCAAGTTGCGCCAGGGGAGGTTTAGATTGGATATTAGGAAAAATTTCTTCACCAAGAGAGTGGTCAAGCATTGGAACAGGCTGCCCAGGGAGGTGGTAGAGTCACCATCACTGGAAGTGTTCAAAAAACATGTAGATGTGGCGCTTCAGGACATGGTTTAGGGGACATGGTGTTGTTTGGTTGATGGTTGGACCTGATGATCTTAAGGGTCTTTTCCAACCTTAATGATTCTGTGAATTTAAAAAATTAAAAATGTGACGCTACTGACACACCTTAACTGTCCTCCCCTGTGGAGAAAAGCAGTGTTTACCCCATCCCGGCTTTACCTCTTCATTTTTTTGCTCTTTGTCTGTTACCTAGAGGAGAGATTTTGTGTTGGGGAGGACTAATTTAAAGCCAAGTAAACAAAAGAAAAAAAAAAAAAGGGAAGGGAAGAGAAAGTCCAGAGCAGCTTCTTCAATATAAAGAACGACAAATTTCAGTTTAAAAACCCTGGTGAAAAAACCCAAATTTTTAGAGACATTTTCACTTTGAAGGCGAATGCTGCTCCTTTGTAAATGGAATTTATTTTTTTAAAGAAGGAAAATTCAGACCCTGAGCACCAGTAGGCAATGAGTTGCTGGCTCCAGTCCAGTTCTCAGCAGATAGTCAATTTGATGACTTCTTTTACAGAGAATGTGGCTGATGCAAACTGCTCAAGGTGCCTTCAAACTGTCATCTGTAAACGTTGGATACACTGGGGAAAGCAGTAATTGCAGGAATACTTTAATGAAGAGAGCGTGCTTTTGCAAGACACTGTGACTGTATTTTGAGAAAGCGAGGTAAACTGGCAGGAGTCTTGTGCAGATTTTCAGTTCTGCTTACACTTGTGTGCGGGTGGAAGGTGCTGTGCACGTCCCCTTCCCCAAATGTCATTGCTCAGAGCATTGCTATGGCTCATTGCTGACATAGCACCTATGCCTCTGTAAGGACCAGTTAGATCTGCCAGGCTGCATTCAGAAAGGATCATGGTGTGGTCCTGAGTCTGGTCTCTGGCTTGACTGTTGGGGTGAGACAGATGAAGTGATGTGTATATTGATCAGTGCTACTGGGTGGTGTTTGTTAGTTAAAGGATTGTTGCAACAGCTTTGCTGACACACAGAAAAATAGGCTAAATTTTGAGGTTTTATTAGTTTTGCTTCTCCCTCTCCTTTTATATGTGTGTTT